CCCCCCCCCCCCCCCCCCCCCCCCTCTCTCCGCCTAACAGATCGGGCTCAAGTTCTGGAGGATGGCGCGGAGCGGCATCATTGGCGCCCTCAACAACGGCCTGGTGCACTACAGCTACTACAAGTGGATCGACGGGCGGTTCCCGTACGACAAGTTCACGGAGAAGAGATGGGGGCCGAAGGACGGGGCCAAGTCCAAGCTGGCGGTGGGGTTCACGAAGTGGGCGCTCGAGTGGCCGACGATCGGTTTGTACAAGGTAAGGTGGCGATGTGGCGTGGTTCGATCGCGTGGTGAGTGCTTTGAGCGGCCGACCAGTTGGCAGTTCGTATTATTTGCTCTCGCTCTCTTGTCCACTGAAGGTGGGAGACGGGCGAGGGTGGATTCTGGACAGCGCTAGCCCAAGGGTTCCTCCTTGTGTCCTCGATGTCCGTTGCAGCACAGATGTAGCTGTCATGTCGGGTTCTTCGTCGCTAGTTGCGAGCCCGCTGCGCACTGCAGCGCTGCCTTGGGTTTCTGATGTGTCTTCGTGGGCACAGAACGACGCGAACATTTCGAACATAGAGCGACCAGCTCTCCTGTTCAGCTGTATTTTCGCAGTATTGCCAATAATATTAGGACCTGGCTGTCATCTGTGTGCGCTCCCCTTCCCCCCTGTGGCTCCCTGTCGACCCTTCCCTCTTGCTCCCCCCTGCATGCCTGTCGCTGGCCCTCTTCTGGTTATGGATGCTGGTCGTGCAGATCGCGTCCATGTACGTCTTGACCGCGGTGTTGAGTGGTAGCACGAAGGGGCTGTGGGAACGGGTGCAGGACAGCCTCTTCCTGACATGGATACGCTCTTTGCAGGTACATTGTTGCAAGCGCGCAATCTGCGTCCAAGTGGTAGTTCTACATACCGGGCCGGTGTCCGAGCGCATGGTGGAGTCGTCGTTCTTCAGTCCCAATAGCGTGTGTATGGCGCCTGGGATCACCCCGGGACAGAGTGACCCCCCCCCGACACACGCCCTCTCCACATGAACTGAATATCACACTTACTTGGGGAATACTTTCGCGGACACATGAAATGCACTGGGGGAGTGTCATGTTGCTCATTGGACGGCCCCCCATCTACCCCTTTGAAAACCAAATCGTACCGTTGTAGTCGATGCATGTGTCCGCCCTCAACATCACCCCAGCCCCCCCCCCAATATATATATAATACAAAAACTCCTGAGCATCGGTCGGAGGAAGCTTTCACGGAGTCGCCACCCGAAGTCCTCACGCCGTGTAGTGTCAGGGATCCAACTACGTATCACACGAGGCCGCGGCAGTGCTGCGCCAAGCCGTGGCCGCACCCGTTGGATGTTTCAGTTTGCTCTTGCTTTGGCGGCATCTTTCTTGCTGCCCGTTGCGTGTACAATCCTTCAGACCCTTGTCATTGCCCAAGGCTAGACAACCGCGACAGACTCGGCTCGCCCGGGATGGAGCCTTGCTAGATAGCCTGCTGACCTAATCCCACACAAAAACGGACTAAAAAAAACGAAATGGAAAGCAAATTCTGCTGTAGGGCCGACCAAACCCGACGCACTACTTGTTGGTTGAAGCGGCATTCATACATGGGAGGTTCGATAGAGCAGCACACACGCCCCCCCCCCCCCC